GTGTTGGAGAGGATTTAGAGAAAAGAGAACCCTTGTACACTGTTGATGGGAATGTAAACTGGTACAGCCATATGGAAAACAGTATGGAGATTCCTCAAAAAATTAAGAATAGAACTATTTGATCCAGCTATTCCACTTCTGGGTATTTATCCAAAGAACAAAAAAACACTAATTTGAAAATATATATGCACCCCTATGTTCACTGCAGCATTATTCACAATAGCCAAAACTTGGAAACAACCTAAACGCCAATCAATGGACAAATGGATGAAGAAGATGTGGTCTATATATTCATTGGAATACTACTCAGCCAAAAAAGGTGAAATCTTGCCATATTTGACAACAAGGATGGACCCTTGAGTGCAGTATGCTAAGTGAAATAAGTCAGACAGAGAAAGACAATTACCATATTTCACTAATATGTGGAAGATAAAAACAACAATAAACAAACACAGAGACACAAAGCATAGATTAGTGTCTACCAGAGGGGAAAAAGGGAGGAGGGAAGGCAAAAGGGTAAAGGGGCACATTTATATGGTAACGGATGGTAATTAGTCTTTGGATGGTGAACAGGATGTAGTCCACACAGAAATTGAAATATAATGACGTATACCTGAAATTTATATAATGTTATAAGCCAATATTACTTCAATTAAAAAATTAGTGTTTATCAAAAAGTAGCATGGAAGAAATGAATACTTTGTCAATAGAGTTTAATTTACAATAAAGCAAGTGGATCCCATTTCTGGTTTCTCTATTTGCACCATGAAATGCTCTAGCTCCTGTGAGGATACAAGAGTGGCATCTGGTGGCCACTGGAATAAACTACAGCTCCTGGAAAGGTAAAGTCAGAGGGACAACCTAGGGTCACGTCCTCCAGTGGTTACCAGATTTTCAAATTTCACAGATGTATTAATCTTATGTAAATGGAGACATATGGAGTTGTCAAGATATTATTTTGTCAAGTTACGATGTTAAAGAACAACGACAAATATCACCTACTATCTAACGACAATAAAAAACATTTTAACATTCCCCCAAATAGAAAGATATAATCTCAGAATAAAGGAAATGTACTTCAAATTGCAAATATTTAGCTTTATAAAAAATGTACCATGTTGTCTTTTTTTCCTCAACAGGAAAATGAGACCTAGCAAACTTTATGGACAAGTGCCAATGCGCAGACTGGTTTTTGGGAACTGGTGCTCACTTGATGGATCCTTTCTGCAACATCCTTTGCTAACTACCCGCAACAGTGGAGAGGTGCTCCCTAGCAGTAGAGAGATGCTCCCCTTGGCTACCTCCCTCCAGCCCTGAGAGATAGGGGAGTTCTCTTTAACTCAGGGTGAAATTGGCAGCCTCCACTCACACTCTTGGTTTTGGCCTGGGCCTCTCCATGAAAAAGCCTAAACCCTTTTTTATTCTGATGTGTGAAAGCAGCTCTCAGGTCTACAGCACCCCTCTCCCATAATTTCTTCCTGAGGCCAACTCCCCCAGGTCCTCAGCCAGTACTTATACTCTCAGCAGGCAGAGCAATAAATTCTGTGCCTTCCAGGGGTCTAGTTGCTACAAAGTTAAGACCATAGACATTTGTGAAAAGATCCTGTTAAGGGTTAGAAGTCTGAAAACTTCTCTCCCCGGGCTAACCAACTCAGAGCAGTACAGAAGTTTACTTATCAACCTTCTTGGCAGACAGGTAGCACACACCCAGGCAGCCACAG